TGCAGTAAATAAAGTTTATAAAAGATTGTTGAGGACCAAACCTCATTGAATTGCCATAATGGTAGACCGACACGTAAGATGAAGATTGGAAATTGCGCTGAGGTATAACCCCGGCCTTGGCTGGCAACCATGCTAGTATTGTTAGACTTGGCAGACAACCTTGTTCGCATGGATTCAAAAGAAGGAACTATTGAAGAAAACAATGTTTTCTCTGATGATGCCATGGAGCCGCGCCGACAAACAACACGAATAATCAATCCGTTGTCCGCTAAGAACAATGGTGATAGAAACACCAAAGCTCGTAGGTAACACTGCACCAAGCGCCACCGAGACGGGATTGGAGTCGAAGTACTATTATTCGAGATAACGTCATCACCGTCGGAGCAACCGATGCTACTGATGTTGATGACAGTACCGTGGTTCTATTTTTGTATTAGAGGTGGGGCGTGGTGAAACCATCAGAGGTTGGATATGGGCTCTAGACCCTTTACAATGAAAACATATGTTCTAAATACTAGATGATACCCCATGCGTTGTTGTGAAAATTCGTTGCAATATATTTCAATAAGTTTGGAATGTGAAACATATTGGCTAGTACTATGAGAAATAAATCTAAAAATACACATGACTGATTGTATTTATTTATTGTATCATGTAAAATATTTATTGAGTATAAGTAGCATAATAGTTTTTCATGCATGGTTGCATGCTGAGGTGAAACTTTTCCCATGCATGATGCATGTTAAGGTGAACATTTTTTCATGTATAGGCGTATGTTGATGTGGCATGCTTGTATGTTAAGATAAATAAATTAAATTAGTGGAGATCACCTACTTAGTTATATAAGATTTCCACAACAACGGAGAGTCGAACGTCATCACGGGATGTTCAACACGTCGTACGCATGCACGTGCCACAGAGACATTGTAGTAGAGGCCGATGGCGCCTAGACGTGGCAAGCCAAAGCCGTAGAATTCCCGCTCCACCACATACCTATTCGCGTCGCCGCCGTTGATGATGCTGCATCGCCGACCAAGCCGTCAGCCAGCCTCCGAACAGCAGCTGGACCACCAGTCCACCACTGCCAGATCAGGGGAGGTGCCGATGTAGTATATGTGATGGAAAATAATTATAAATAACAAACAGGAGACGATAGTAAACTACTATGATCAATATGCAATGCAACTGCAAAATTTGTAGATTGAAGATGTGCACGCATCATTTGATAATGAACTGTTTATATTTATCAACTAGCTCTTTGAAAACGATGATTGTACACCTGAGTGCACAAATAGCACTGGGATTACAACACGAACATCACCCGTACGTAAAACTCGCTCCTAGCGAGCTATAAGCCTTGCTATTGCCGGAACAGGATTGAAAAAACCTGTTCGATCGACGCTAACTAGGCCATTAGTTAGGTTATTCTAAGAAAATACATATACGTACTTCACAGTTCACACTCTTCGACAAAATTTTATTTTCCCAAGTGGCACCTGCATTCCTCTATAGCCAGAGGGCACCTGCATTCCTCAGCATTGGGACTAGCTCGCCGCTGAGATGCATGGACATGACCCTGTTTGTCCCGCCGACAAGCTTCCCGCCGATGAACACCACTGGAACAGACGGGCCTTTTCCGAGCATCTTGAGGAGAGCTCTCTCCATCTCCTTTCCCCTGGGGTCTTGGTCTAGCTCGTGCACCAGTGCATTGACACCCAGGTCGCAGAAGAGCCGCGCCACGGTGTGGCACATGCAGCAGGAGCTCAGGGTGAAGATCACCACCGCTCTCTCCGACACCAGCTTCATCACGCGATCCATCTGCCTTCTAAATAAGTTCTTCTAATGGGTTATGTGTGTGCTTGCACGGATCTCTAAGCCTGCTTTGCTTTGAAGTTTAAAGAGGACTTTGAAATGTGATGGAGCCTTTGAGTAGCTCTAGCTAGTTGTTGCTGCCTTGTGTTGTGCCAAAGAGGAAATCTGGATGGTTTGCTAGCAGAGGGGTGGCTTCCTTTTATAGAGCTACAAAAGGGAAGTGTTTCTTTCTATGCACTAGCTAGGGTGTCCTTCATGCATGCATGGGTTGGAATATCCAGTGCAAGTAAGATCAGGAAGTGTTTGGAACAGACCAGTGTGATCTAGCAGCCATCTTTAACATTGCACAAAGAGCAATTTGGATTTCCCTAGAAAAAATAAATGAAAGCTCCTAGCTAGCATAGCATGCCTGGCATTGGCGTCATTGGTTTGTTCAAAAGCATATTGGTTGGTACCCAAGAGGAGATCAGATTAGATAATGCACGCGTGGAACCGTGTTGGTTCTGATCAACATGGAGCCAAACACGCGACTGGAATAATCCGATCGATTTTGTAAGTGTTGACCTAGCTAGAGGGAATCTCGTATATATGCCTATGGAGAGGTCCTGCTTTTGAAATCAATCTATCTATTGGCTGTTTTTAAGCTTGCACGTACTACATGCAGGCAACTACTTAATCATCAGGAGAACTAATTAAGACTTGGAAGGGGTGGTCAATCTTATAATTGGCTCATGCATACTATCAGTGCATCGGGTAGAAATCCGGAAAGTAAGAAGGTCGGAATATGAATCTCATCATCGATATTGTCCTCATGCATACTATCTCAAAACGCCCAAGCCAATGGGATGAAATTTCAGTACGAAATTCCAAGGCAGATTTTCCCCCCTTTTTTCAAGATTTCTCTCCTCGTTTGAGTTTTCAAAAAGGAAAGCAGAAAAGCAATTCATGTGTTTACAAACAGATGAACAACTTGGTCCTTGTCGGTTTTTACTTTTTACTTAACAAAGAGCACTAAAAAAAGATTTTTACTTAACAACCTAGGTCACTCTTTTCTACTTAATTGCCCATTTTTTCAGGGACTCGTTTCTACTTAATTGAAAGGCAGTGCTCCTGTCAGTTTCACGAAAGTATAGATGAACAGAAGCTTGCAATGGTGAAAACGTGTCGATGATGTGCGACAACAAGAACCGTATCAACAATGACGCGGAATGCCGATATGGTACGGCCAATACTTTGCTTGTAAGGAAACCTCAGGCTCACCTTGTTTCTGGTTAACCGGCGATGAGTCGCCACAGGTTCAGAGAATAGCATCGTCGACAGAGCTCTCAATCTCTCATCACTCACACTGCCTTATCTGCAAGCACAGAATATGTCCAACTTGCCTGCTTTTTCTCTCAAGATTTAGCTGCTTGGGCTTTGAGAAACGCCCATCACCGTCATCGGCCTGGCCGTATCAGATATGAGGCGCCGCGATACCGACGACGGTGCCATCCTTGCTTTTTCTTTGACATCCTCACCGAATCGGTCCTCCTACAAAGCTCTGCCGAAGCAAGGAAAGTACGGAGAGAGGGAGAGAGAGGTGCTGCATGTGGCACCACACAGTTGCTACATGTATGGTGGTACAAGCATCTACATAAAGTCAGATATATATTACCAGGGTGTTTTTTTCAAAAAAACCAAATCTGCAGTTTTAACGCATGACGCAAACATCCGGGCACTTAAGAATGGAATATATGTCTTGATAGAGATATCCTTTATCCTCTAGATTTGCCTTGATGCTCTTCACCTGGAAAGAAAAGGCTAGTGTTATGTAGTGGCAATCTCCATAGCTAGCTCCTCAAGGATCTTATGGTTCTTCATCAATTCTTGGCTCCTCACCCTCTCAAGGGCTAGCCTTGGCTCCTGCAAGAAGAATGTGTAGTGCAGCTCTTCAGATCAATCTAGCACGTTACCCGACATTGCCGAAAAAGGATAAATTCTCAAGTATACATGTGTAGCACGCTGACAGAAAGAGCACCGCTACATTTTATCTACAACTGAATATGCCAGAGATGCAGCAAATACTTTTGAAATGCTACTGGAGAGGTGTGGAAGCGCCTAGTAGTACATTTGAACAGTACTGTAAAACCACGTCAGTTATTTCCGAACAGTTCAAATTTGAAGTAAAACCACGTCAGTTATTTTCAAACGGAGGGAGTACTCGATTCTTATTCTTTGCCAAATTGACATGTGGATCACGAAGACCTAACCTAGCTACTGTACATTGCTGATGCACATATGCCAGCCTTGAGGTGCCAACACCTAAGAGGATCTTATTCCTTGGCTCTTTATTATTGTTTGATAAGCCTAGCTAGCTTGTTGATTACCTGGAACCCTAAGAACAACCAATATCATCCATGTGTAGTAAGTGTGCAGTCTCATCAGATCCTAACATATCACATTCTATCCTTCATCCTTGAACGACATTCTACCCAGTTTTTAAGGATTTAGATTCCAGTTTTGGACATGGACAGAAACTGATGCCTACTGGTAATAGCTGTGTCTATCATCACTCAAATGAATCGCCATCCTTTCATCTTCACCTTCGCCTTGAGAGAATCCTATTTTGCATGATTTTCTCCTTGAAATTCCAACCCAAGGAGAGCGATGCATGGCTTTTGTTGTCACGGAGGATGGAAAATGACAAGCATGGAAAAGGAATACAGGATATCAGGATGCATACTAGAATAATGATGAAAACCAAACCTCAACACAGCAGGCTCAAAAGGTTTGGTGTAAAAATCTAATAAACTTCTCTCAAATTGTGAGAATAACACAATCAGGGACCTGACAACAGCAGCGTACACACAATTCCCATGGATTACAGCAGCTCAGAATTCAACTCCTGGGGAATATAGCATATGCTGGGCTTCATCCACGGTGGTACAGAGTAATGGTGCTGTATTACAGATTTAAGACAGACTTCCAAGTAATCAAGCAACGCTGTTCGCAGCAATACACTAGTAGCTGACGATTCAAGAGATGAATTGAATCTTGGTAGAATGGTAAAGCGGCAAAGGCCCAGGGATGGGGCTGACACTAGACGGGCAATGCCGCGAAACAATGCTTCTTCTATGGGTATGGTTCTGGCATTGGTTGCACAGACCAGGTGATACACCAGTATGATGTATTCTCTACAGGAGGTTGTCTTAAGATGAGTCTGTTGTCGACGGAGAACTGCTTCCTGATAAATCTGCAGGCCGCGACGTCGATCTAGTGTTGTATGAGTTGCAATGGCTGCACTTATGGCCAATCACGTGGAAGTCCACTTCTGAGACTTTGTTGCAGTCATTGCAAAGAACCCAAACCTGGAAATTTTAGCACAAGGGCAAAAACCACTGTTAGCCTGACTCAGCTACTAGATCCACACAAAAATACTCCCTCTGTTCCTAAATATAAGATGTTTTAGCATTTTTCTGATTCACATGTATCTAAACCCATTTTGATGTGTATGTTCACCAATTTCAATCCGCATAGTAGTCTACATTGAAATTATCTAAAACATCTTATATTTAGGAACGGAGGGACTATATGACTAATGTGTGACAGTTGGCATGACAATGGTCGTCTCATATCTTCAAAGGTTCAGATAGATCAAAAACACAATATGGGCCTATTCGGTTTGGAGGATTTTCATAGGAAACACATAGGAACAAGGATTCCAGAGGAAAATTTCCTATAGATGCATTCGGTTTGTAGGAAATGTGTACAGAAATATCGTAGGAATACTATTCATTTCCTCTGTTTTTGGAGGAAATTACACATCCACTCAAAGCTCATTTTACGCGTAGGAACGAGGCGAGTCAAATCCTTAGGATGGCAAGTGCCATGCTATAAAATTCCTATACTAGTTCTAATTCCTACATCATGAAATCCTCCAAACCGAATGAGCCCTATAATGGAACTTCCACCATTCGATGCTCATTTTCTGTGAGAAAGCTAATTTGTCAATAAAATAAGTGGCAGAAAATGGTTTCCGGGTGATTCTGAAAGTATGGCTAGTGAAGATGGTTTTGAATGTAGTATATATCAATGAGCAACATAACATTGGCTCGTGCACTAGCACAAACCAGTTTGGCAATGTAAGCTATGTCTGATTGGACTAAATAGTTCAATCACAAGAGAATACCTTGTAACGATATACAGGAGGCATAATTGTTGCTTCAATCTACAAAAGGAAAAGCAACTCATTATTGAAGCAAGCTCAAAAATATATCTAAATATTAAAAGCTGTCCAGAGCATCAATGCATCACAAAGTCAGAATACAATGAATATTTGTTGAGTGATTGTTGTAATGCACATGTCTGACATTTAGAAAATAAACGTTATACCTCTTGATCCAACATGCCCCAGTGAACTGTCATGTCAAGAGCTGTCTTAGAGCATATTGGACAAGTGTATCTGCAGCATCATAAGCCAATAAATAGTTACAACAGAAGCAACATCGGAGAGATTTTTAAAAAAAAAGGAATAAGTGGGTACACATATATCTCCATGTTAACGCAAGTGGAAGGATTACTTATTATGGTCCACCATCTCAGCGAAACAGTCCATGTGCATCGTGTGTCCACAGTTTAGAACTCTTGTTCCTTTTAATGAATCAAATAGATACTGCACAGAAAATTTCACTATAAACATCTCAATAGTTCCAATAAGTGGAACAGTACAAGTTCCTGATGTTACCTCATAACAGATTGGGCAGTTCTGTCTCATTGAATCCTCCACACACTGATGGTTATCACGCAATGCAACAGCGTAACATGACCCTATTTATTGCAGAACAAATAGTTACGAAATTGAACATATTGATATTAGTATTACTAGAATTCATCCTGCACATCATATGTACCGTCGGCAGATTTAAATACAAGTGAACAAAGATAACTTTTTAATTTACACATTCTTTATTGGTAAATTTTCTATAACCTAGACATTACATGACTAGGACTAGATAGTGGACAAACTGTAAACAAATAGGCTCATGAGATCATCGTCAGCTGTTTCCCATGATTATTAAGGCAAGATCCATTGCAGTTACAAAAAGAACACAAGTTGATTTCAGTTCCAGCAGGAGAACGGGAAGTTTCAGGAAAAAGTATTTATGCTACTGCATCATGTAGATTACTCAAAGGCACAAATCAATCATGGCATTGTCATGAGTCTGGAACAAAAGTTAACACAAAGCCAGCATGATTATAGCATACCACACTTTGCACAGTGGAAGTAGTTTTCCTTGCCGCCAACCCTGGTTGATTTGAATAGAAACAGGGTTAAGACTTTGCTTGATAAGATAGAAGTGAAGATAGTGTTTAGAGCTCACCTGCATATGCCGCAATCATGGCAATGGTACTGCCCTTTCTCTGTCTGTAGCAAAAGACACTGCATCAGCTGATACGAACCACACTAAGTACATAAACACAGAAAACAAAATTGAGACATACGTCGTCATCATAAAACTTGCATACATCACAGAAGTATTCTCCCATATTGACTCCACATCTTACACACACTTGTGACACCTGAACAACACAAGAGTTTTAGTTTGAGCATAATGACATCCTACGAGACATGATTGCAAAGTAAAAAAAGTTTGTACTAGTATTTAAGTCGTACCGGTTGTTCAGTATCACAGAGTACACACACTACCTGTAGCAGAAAAGGACAACCGGTCATTCAGAATTTATGAACCTGCTGAGGTCTACAGATTGTACAGAAAAAGAAAGGGCTTGCGAGGCGTACTTTTTCAACATCCTGGCGACATATATTATGCCGATCACCCAAAGCCTACAGTGAAGACAATGCCATCAAAACTAGTTAAATTCAATAAATGCAGTTTGTTGCTCGTTAGCTGCTCTATGCAAACTGTCAACATCTAACAGTTGCCATTTTTCAAAGGGAAAGAGAACCCTCCCAGGGTGCCTTGGTGGGCACACATGGTTGTGAACCCACCCACCCACCCGGGTTCGAGGACTCGCCCCACTTTAAGTTAGACGTCCTCCCCCTTGGTCTAATTCTTTTTTTTCAAGGGAAGATGTTTAAACTCCAACAAGAGTGCCACGGAAAGGACCAAGCAAAGGAGCGAAATCGCGCCAAGAAATGCGTCAGACACCACGGAAAGATGGGGCAATTACATGGAACAAATATGATCCCTGGGGAAGAGCAAATCGCCCCACTTTAAGAATAAGTCAGGGAGGCGTCTTCCCCCTTGGTCTAATTCTTTTATTTGTTTTTTCCAATGGAAATGTTTAGACTCCAATAAGAGCAACTGTTCTCAATGAGTCTGACAAGTTCCCATTTTGCTAATTTACAGTTTTGATCTATTAAGAACATTAACTTATGTTTATACATTTATTTTGCCAGCACCCTGAAGATTTATTTTACCAGTTATTGAAATCTGACACGACGACTTATCGTGCATAACTTCAACCAAACAAGTTGTCCAAGATTAAATGAACGAAATTAAGATCAAAATTTAGAGCCATGGTGATTCAATATCGACGAACCAACTCAACTTGCAAGGTTGCCATGTTAGACTTGTTTGGAGTACGGACGATGGGGCCTTTATGGGGGATTTAGTTCCCTCTCAAGCACGAACTAACTCTACATCAACAAGGTGATAGTGCATTAGCCAATAATTGTTAAGCATCCCAGTGAAACTGTACATGGAGTAAGTGATGCTAATTACTACACGGCCATGGTGAGTTGGTTCCCACATGGATGAGCACGGTAATTATGCGGCCGTGGCGAGGAAAACAATAACTAGCAGCGTACCGTGGCGTGGTTAGTTGGTCTCCACATGGATGAGCACGGTAATTATGCGGCCGTGGCGAGCAAAACAATAGCTACTAGCAGCGTACCGTGGCGTCGTTGTGGCAATGGCGGCAGGGGAACACCTCCTTGCAGCAGGGCGCTACGATCTTGCATCTCCGCCGATAATGCTCGCACCTGCGCAGACCAGAGATGGATCACGATGTCCCGCGAGACGAAGCAATGAACCAATCGGACCAAGCAAAGGAGCGAAATCGCGACAACGGGCGCGGCAGACGCCACGGAAAGACGGGGCAATCGCGCGGAATCGAGCAAATTCGATCCCCGGGAAGGACGAATCGCAGCAAAAGGGGGGAGGGGAGGGGAGGGGACGCTGCCTAACCCGTGCTCCATCTTGCCCACGTCGCGGCGGCCCACATCTCCGTCGCCCGTGGCCTCGTGGGCGAGGTCGTCGTCGGCGAAGTGCGTTCCCCCCATCCCCGGCGGCGGCGTCGGCGGCGAGAGGGTGGTGGTGGGGAAGGGGAAGGGGAGGGAGGAGTCGGTGGCAGAGTGGTAGAAAGGAGTAAAGGAAGGGGCCTATGGGTCAAAATGGCGCGCGATACGAAGAGGGAAGGAAGGAAGGAAGGTGGAGGCCGGCGCTCCGCTAGGCCCCAACCCTTTTTCTTCCCTCTTGTTTTATTGGTCCGGAGCCGGAAGAGGAAGGCCGTCGCCAAGCCGGGAGTTGGACCCACTGCCTTAATTGCTAACTGTCCCCTCGCATCATCATCTCAGAAATTGTGGGAGATGGATTTCAGGATTTTCCATGTAACGGGTAGAATAGAATAATGTAACTAGAAATATATTCAAACTTCAGAATGGCAGAAGTTCAAGTTAAAACTCAATGAACAGAAAGCACATTTAAACTCGATAAACTTGCAACTGAAGGCTTGCCGTAGGGATGGAATGCTGACTTCACATTTTCTAAAATGGATGATTTCTAATGCACATCTTTCAACACAATACAATCACAGATGGTTACATACACATATATACACTTATTTGTACGCATGCACACTCTACTCCTATGAGCACTTCTGAGACATTGAGCTGACACAACATCATAAATTTGACGAAGTCATCATAGGAGCCTCTTGGTCGATGGAAACATCTCAAGTATGGAAGCTAAACACTGGTCTGTTGGTTCCACCACAAAAAATGTAATCATCTAAGCTATGCTCAGCTCAACCCTTACGGATGCAAAATCCGCACGAAATTCGTGGACAAAAAACGTGCAGGGTTGAACAGTGAAATTCAGGTGGTGGAAAAGCACCGTTATGTTAGGCAAGTCCTGTAGTCGCCTACTGCACCTTTTTTAATGGTCTGTTTGATGCCAACTTGTCAAGGAAGATAAAGAGATGAGGTGCGCACATGGCATGGGCCGCACGCACGCCAGCAGAGGAAGATGGCGAGATGCATCTTTCTCGCACGCACCTCCTTCCCTTTCTTCCTCCACCGGCTGCTCTACTTTATTCATTCAATTCCAAGTTTCAAACCGACAGAGTTCCGTTCGCTTGCACTCTTCCCTTGCACTACCATCTCATTCTTTTTGCTTGTTTGTTTGTTTGTGTGTATGCACCTGGTTGTTGAATTCTACTATTCCTGCTTGTATATTAAATTCATTCCTTCAAGGAGATGCGGAATTGCGTTTGTTCCAAACAGGTTGCTAGGAAAGTAGGCCAAGGGTCGATGTTCCTCTTCGGCGAAAGCGGAGTCGCTTGCTCAGAGTTTAGGAAGAAAGCGGAGTCGCTTGCTCAGAGTTTAGGAAGGACAATGACCCATGACGCAGTGGTGCACATTGACCGATGACGCAGTGGTGCACATTGACGAAGCCCTTTTTCTTGAGGTGTATGGGGGGTTTCTTGTGTGGCACTCAACTGTTTGTAACAGTTTTAGTCCCTTTTTCGTTAATTAACCAAACAACTCTCTTCTGCTTAATGAATGGATGAGGTAAACCTTTCGCCTCCGTTCAGAAACAAAAAAAGTAGGCGGCTTCCAGTTCGACCTTCATTACCAGATGTGCAGTCAACAACAACATAGAGCACTCGCTTCATATTATCAACTTACTGTCAGTCCGAAACAATCTCCGGTCTACAACATCTACGTATGGGCTAGAGATGAACAGCTAAATTTCCAATTGTGTATTGTACAGATTAACATCCAACGCTCTCTTGTGTACACTGTAAGACCACGACCAAAAATAATGAACCAAACTGTCGATGAACATAGTCTTGCAGCAACGGCTCAACGTAACAAGAACTTCGACAGATTCCATCAACGCGGTTCAGGCTATGCGTTTGCGGGTGCATCGGTCTGCATGTCGGCACCAGCTGGTTCGGCAGTGGTTCCCGCGTCGCTGGTCACCTCTGGCTCAGGGCCATTGGTTACAAGTCCGTTCTCAGAGGCCGCAGTCCCAGCACTCTCGATCGACTGCCTTCTTTCAATGCCTCCTGACTGCCTTCTCTCGATGCCTTCCAACTGCTTTCTCTCGATGCCTCCTGTCTGCTTTCTTTCTATGCCTCCGGACTGCCTTCTTTCGATGCCTCCTGACGACTTTCGATCAATGCTGCTGATCCCAGAGCCTGATCTTATAGGTAGTTGGCTGACAGCATCCAATAAGCTGGGGCACTCTGTGATCAGCACTCCTCCGTTGGGGTAGCATCGTCCAAAACATGCAGCACAATAAGGATATGCGACCTGAGATGAGATAGTGAACTTACATATGAGACTTCTCTGAGTCAAAAGAGAAATATCACAGAACTGGAATTTAGATCTGGTGGGTGTTGGGCCTTCAGCATATCCTGTTTTCTTTACTTTTCTGGAGGTAAACTTTTCCCCCCTACTTCCATTTGTGGTGCTTATGAAGCTTAAGTTACCTCAATAAATGCCTGGCAAAGTGAGAGGAAAAGGGAAGACTCATTTCCACGCAGCATCCGCATGGCATTGTATCTGACTAGGGAGTCAGAAACTGCTTGCAATCCTTTCACCACCTCCTGAGCAAGGACATGCTTCAAGCTCAATGGTGCACATGGTTTTAGCTCATTCATTGCTGCCGAAACACCTGCATCCAAGAGTATGAAATACGGACATGTCAACTTGTATACTCACTAGCACCATTAGAGCCAACACGTGAAGAATAGAAGTCAATTTCTGATAAATGTTACCAGTAAAACATACCATTAACAAACACTGCGAGAGGTGGATGCTCCATCAAAACAGAAGGTGGTGTCACATCATCAGAAGTATCATCCACAGCTCCATTTGTGACAAAGCCAATAGATGGCATCGGCACCCAACGATGTGAATCCAAGACAACCTAGCATGATTAGAAAATTTTATAGTGGTGTTAATTTATGGTGCTACAGTAATAATTGTAGGAGAAAGAGTGTAGGGAATTACAGAGTATAATTTGAAAGAACGAAGAAAGTGTCAACAACCTTATAATACGAATTCATCTTATGTTTATCTAGAGAAGAACGGAATAGCATGTCCAAACACGTAGTACATAGATGCTTACCTGAAAATTCTCAACCGCTGTACTCATATTCTTCGAGAATAAATTTAAAACCGCACTGCAAAGCAGATAATGTCAGGAAATACAACCCCTTTCCAGCATAGACAATAAATTTTAATAATCAAATACCAATTACTTTTCAAAAATTGGTGGAAGCAGGCAACGGAAATCCAGTCCAACCAAGCCGAGACCCATCGCACAATACTGCAAGATGATCAAGTGATAAAACATTACAAAAGATTCAAGCCTTTGGTGCAACTGTTACTCAGCTAGAAATTCAAACGAAAGCAAATGCTTACCATGCAGTTTTCAAGCATGTTTGACAGGGACCCACCTTCTGTTATATTTGGCAACATAACTTGAAGAGTGGTGAGGTGATTACTAACTTGGTGCATTGCCCAGCTGAAAAGCAGCCCACCGTCGCTGTTCTCTTCACTTCCAGATTTATCATTATTGAATATTGCTCGGTATTGATTGACAACATCAAATAGATGTGTCCTGTGGCAAGACACCATGCCTTTCAGATAATCATATACATTCCTTTGGTCCAGATCATCAAGAATCCCAGAAAGCCAAGCTTCCCTGCATCTCAGGAACTAGAACTTATATCAGAGTTAGGAGGCGAAGACAAACAAATTGTATTCTAACCCCTGTTATGACCTATAAAAAAGAAGCAGTGTAATGTCATAACTAATGTCTGCATTATTAATAGAAAAAGAGATTCTACCATACAACTAAGCATACTTGGTAACTCAAGAGACATGATAACCAGAAACAAATACTCATAAACAGAATGGTACTATCAAATAACTTGGAAGATTCAGAATACCTGTAGGCGTAATTCTGATTCACTGAACACTCCAATCCGGCGCAAATGTGCGACAATACGGAGGCATTCGGGTAACTGTAGGCGATAAAATGGACCAGACTTAGATACAAGTGTGCAGAAGATATTAGACAGATCAAGCAATCGTGGGCAAGAAATGATACTATTGAACACAAGGAAATACATTTACCACTACATGATAACATAATATACTTATAGCACTCAACTGCACAGAGGACAGCACAGAACAATCTGGGCCAGAGTAAAATATGAAAATGGTGCTTGACATAAATAGTCGACAAGCATCATCACCTGAATATTTGATCGAAGCTTTTGGAGAAGCTGAGAAATTAGTGATTGTATCGTCTTCTTGACTTCAGCAGCTAATCCTTGGATGACAGGTAAACTTCAATTGAAATAGCAAACAGTTAATGATTTTAATGACGGACCACAACAAAGTATTATGTTACTCGACTTACTCAGGGTGCAACTTCGAAATTTTACTAACAGAAGCTTCTAGATCGAGTGCCTCATCATAGTTCCCATTCCGTATGCATCTGTAAGCAGCAGCTTGTTGTTAGGGATTCATTATCGGTACAACATTTGAAGCTATGCAGTACAGGACAAGAATATGTGTCTATAATCCATACAAATTAAACAAAAACCAATGGCATATCAACAACATCAGTCAACTCAAATATGAAGCAAATATCCCAAGGAAACACTAACAATGCATGTCACATACGTGTCCATAAGTTGTGGGATTTCAAGCAGGTCAAGCAAGGTACTGTGGTTGGCTAGTAATGTCTGATTGAGCTTCCTCTCTTCCAAAATTTGATGTGCTGACTCAACAAACTCGGTGCAACCAGATGTTAAATTGGGTATCTCCTCTACCTGCAAAGAGTAAAAAAGATATTGTCAAGCATTTCATATTTTCATTTCCTACTTCCAACATGGCCTGAATCATACATAAGTCGTTATTGGATGAAGTAAAAGCTGCATAAGGACATGTACTTAATTTTAGCTCCCACCGTTGGCAGTAAGAAATGAACAACACTTGCATAATTTCCATTTTGCAGTATTTAGTGACAGACACTGGTTCAACAAACAATGGTAGTGGTTTTTCAGAGCAAGGTGATGCATAACATTAACAAATATGCATGTGGACTTGATCATTTTTCCTTGCGGTGCATATGATTATGGTCATGTTAATACTGTTAAAATCAATCACATAAGAAGCATATAAATAGCTAACAGTTTAGAGAAGAATGTTAGAATGTATGGTTCATAAGAGCCAATCAAATTTCTCGACCACACAGGAAAGCCAAACAACATTTGCGGGCAAACAAATAATTGAAGGTAATTGTTTCGTGTTTAAAATTGGACTCACTTGTAAGAAAGCAAGCAAGACAAATTCTCACGCAGTTATAAATAGGCAATAAACTGATGGAAACAAGAAGAAAAATGTGATTCCCACAGCAATCACAAGTGACAGCACAATCACATTTGCAGATGAACACACAGCAAAAACTACACCTCACATTTCCTGTTGCAATATCAAAATGAGATCTACTAACTATATGCCTAGATCATCCACCTCAAATTGCAGCATCCATCGGATCACTCAACCTAACTTTGTTCGATTTTCGCACAACAGAGTTAGTTAAGTTGAGATCTACTTACTGATCCATATAAAAGCAACAGATGTTTTTGACGCTAAGGTCATACAAAAATGGTACATGCTGCGACGGGCTGAGATCAGCTGACATTACCAGTGCCTCGAGGTGCTTGTCGAACCCCTCGAGCTGTGCCCGCACGAAGGAGAGCGCCTCGGAGGCGGCTATAAAGGCGGCGTAGTTCTCCACCGCCACTTCCTGCATCTGCCGCCGCACCCGCTCTCCGTCCACCCGCAGCAGCTCCGGCTCCTGCGCCGACACGAACATTACCACCAATACATCACGAGATCACTATTGCCACCGATTATGGTAACGACTACGGAATTTACGGGGCGCCGCAAGCGGGAGTGATCTCGGGGGCGTACCTTGTGGAGACGCTCGATGGAGAAGGAAAGGAGCTCGGAGACGTAGGGCTGGTAGGCAGCTCCGGAGAGCGGAAGCACTGAAGCGCCTTCCATGTCGGCGCCGGCGGCGGGAAGTTCCGACGAGTGGCGGTGGCCCGCGTCGAGGAGGTCCATGGCGAGCGAGATCTGGAGGGAGAGAGTGGAGAAGGGAGGTTGGGGATTCAGCGGTTGAGACCCTCGGGGTTTTGTTCAGTTGTTCAGTTTAGTCCTTCAAAATTTTAGAATTTTAAAATAGTGGCATAGTAGGAAAATTTATTTTTAAATGTTTTTCTAAAGGGCAGCGCTAGGCGCCGGCGCACCGGCCCAAACGTTTCGGCCGGTCCCCGCGCAGCCGCACGATTAGTGTCCCCAGGACCGCACGATTCAGCGAGCTATCCTCACGCGCGTCCCCTTCTTCCTCGCTTCAGATTCACCATATCCTCCGCGGTGGTTTGCGCGTAGCACCCACCCCGCCGCTCGCTGGCTCACCACCGCCGCTCGTCGGCTCACCACGGCTGCCCGCCGGCTCGCAGGCGGACACGCCATGGCCGCTCGCCCCGCTGGACAACTGCAAAAAAAAATCTGTTTTGGCAGGTTCCAGCAAAATCAATTGTTGTTTCCAGCAAAAAAAAACACAAAGGTTGCAGCAAAAAAATACTAACACGGTCTCCGCCCTTGCCACCCAGCAAAAAAATCAGCGCGAGCACCACCTCGCCGGTGGAAGCAATCCCATGAGCCAGTTCCAGCAAAGAAAAATACAGGTTCCGGCGAAAATCAATTACAGCAAAAACACTTCCGTCTTAGCAAAAAATTCAACATGCAGGTTCCAGCAAAAAATGTTGCTGGTAGAAGCAAAAACTAATGATCGTTCCAGCATCCATGTTGCCCAGTTCCAGCATAGTGACCATCCCCGCTGCCCGGTTCCAGCAAAACAACCATAGCAGCAAAAAATCAGAAAAATCCGCTTGTAGCAAAGAAATAGCCGGTTCCAGCAAAATTTGACACTAGTTCCAGCAAAAACATGAGCCGGTTCTAGCAAAAATTATCTTCGGTTCCAACAAAATCATAACATGGTTGTAGCAAAAAATCGACTGGAAAAACAACGATGTCATGGAGATGGATGTAGCACAAATGCACAAAACACCGATAGTAACAAAAACCAAAAACGATTGTAGCAAAATGGTTCGCCGGTTCCAGCAAAAACTAACGTGGCCACGAGCACCCTCATCCACCGTTGTGCCATGACCCCTGCACATCGCCCCGGGTCGCAGCAGCAGGAGCGCCCCCCGTCGTGGTCGCTCGCGCTGTGGGGTGGACGTTAGGGCTGTGGGTTGGCTTTGGGTGCAGGGGTCCGGCGGCTGGCAAGGCGCGGAGTAGACGAGAGAGAGCTGGGATGTGCGTCATGGTGGATTTGGTAGTCTGAAGCAGAGGTGACTGGGGAAAATGAAGAAAGGAGATGAGGATAAGAAAGGAGGGATAGGGAACAGCGGTGGTGTGGGGCCCATAGTGATTCGTCCTGCGAGCGCGTGGAAGGGTGATGTGGGGTTGAGCGTTTGGGGCCGAGAGGATGAGCCCACATAGGGCCACACGATCGCCCTCGATCGAACGAAGCGTACGCGACCGACGAAGCATTTCCGTCGGCGCGCCGCAGGGAAACGTTTCCCTTTTCTAAAAGGAAATGATTAGCATTAGCCGGCCGATCATGCATAGCGTTCCACCACTTGTGCAACCGTCAGATCCAAGTTCCATCGAACGGTGCACAACGTACATCTTAGTGCAAAACACATTATTCGTGGCACCACATGACTCAGTTCGCGCGCGACGCATGCCTCTGCCATCTTAACATTATTTCTGCAACACTATCCAAAAGTTCTTTCGCAACAACACACATGCTTCAAAAAAATAAAGACGAAAAAAATATCCCATAACATCATCTGTGCTGCAGAAGTCGTTCTGCAACAACACTCATGTTGTACAAAAGTTAAGACAAAAAATCTGCAACATCTGTGTTGCAGAAGTCGTTCCGTAACAACACCAATGTTGCAAAGAAAAAATGAGACGAAAAAAACAATATTTCTGTAACAGAATCTCTATTGCGAATGTTTCTGCAACAGATAGTCTGTTGCAAAGAAGGATTCTGCAATAATGTGCTTGTTGCAATGGTGAGGAAAGACATGTGCCGCTGGATAACGCTGGATCAAACGACTATCGAGGCGGCGAATCTTATAAAAAGATCCGCCGGCCGACGCGCAGCGGCCCCTTTTTCTAAACTGTATAATCGCAAATGTTCAGTACCAAGTTTAGGTCGCAAAACTTGATGAACCGGTTCCATCACAAGGAAGCTAACCATCTGAGCTATGCTTAGTAGTTATTTTTAAATGGTGAGTTTATCCATTTCATTTAAAAAGTTAAATAACGAATGATGAAATTTAATGTTTTATCTAAATGACTCGCAGTTGTTTGACTACAGGTGCATGGACGTGATTTCTTCAGCAGTTCACCTGCAAAAAAACAGATTTCAACAACATTTAAGACATGGGGTGGAGATGCCCTTTTTCTATTCCTGATGCACTCGCACCCTTTCGCCCATATGATAATTGGGCAGAGTGATATTGGGTTCACTTTAGAGCGCCATTATCCATTCAGTAATTGTCGTCCTCGGCGGGAATGCACCCCTCTCACTTCTTCGGTGTTACATGATACGTCTCAAAGGTATCTATTTTTCCAAATACTTTTGCTTTTGTTTTGGACTCTAATTTGCATGATTTGAATGAAACTAATTTGGACCGATGATACTTTCAGCAAAACAACCATGGTGTTGCTTTTGTGCATAAATAAAAGCTCTCAATGTGTGTTATCAAACGTCACTTCGTAACTAGGTGATCATAAAGGTGCTTTATAGGTATCTCTGAAGGTGTTTGTTAGGTTGGATGAATCGAGACTGGGATTTGTTGCTCCGTGTGACGGAGAGATATCTTTGGGCCCTCTCGGTAATACAACATCATAAGAAGCTTCATGTGACTAATGAGTTTAGTCACGAGATCTTGTATTATGGAACGAGTAAAGAGACTTGCCGGTAATGAGATTGAACTAGGTATGGAGATACCAACGATCGAATCTTGGGCAAGTAACATATCACCGGAAAAAGGGAATTTCATACGGGATTGACTAAATCCTTAACATCGTGGTTCAACTGATAAAGATCTTCGTTGAATATTTAGAAATCAATATGGGCATCCAGGTCCCGCTATTGGTTATTCACCGGAAAGGAGTCTTGGTCATGTCTGCATGTTCCGAGCCCGTAGGGTCGCACGCTTAACGTTCGGTAGCGCTAGGGTAGTATTGAGATATTAATAGTGGAAATCCCAAAGGTTGTTCGAGTCTCGGATGGGATCCGAGACATCACGAGGAGCTCCGGAATGGTCTAAAGGTGAATATTTATATATGGAGTTGTTGTCGGGATCCCGGAAAATGTTCGAGTTTTTTCAGTATTGTACTGAGAAGGTTCTAGAAGGTTCTGGGATGGGGCCCACCTGCATGGGGGACCCACGTGAACGTGGGTGGTGGGAAAAGTCACCACCCCCCTGGTCTAGGCGCACCAAGATCCTCCCTTAAAAGAAATAATATCGTATCCAGAAGGGATAAGATCAGGATTCCTAAAAAGGGGGATAGGATCGGTGGGGAAGGAAGGAGAGATTTCCTTCCTTCCCCTTTGGCCAACGACCCTAGGGCCTTGGAAGGAAAGCCACCAGCCCCCTCCAAGTCTATATAAAGGTGGGGAAGCGTTGGGGCAGCCACCCTTCGACCCTTGCCCATTACCTCCCCCAACTCCTCCCACATTTCACCGGTACACGCTTGGCGAAGCCCTGCCAGAACTCCGCTTCCACTCTAACGCTTTTTGGTCTACAAGGGTATGTTGACACACTCCCCTCTTGTTTCTATACATCTCCTAGATTAGATCTTGGGTGTTCATAGGAATTTTTTGATTTTCATGCTTCGTTCCCCATCAGTGGCATCATGAGCTCGGTCTATGCGTAGATGTACATGCACGAGTAGAACACAAAGATGTTGTGGGCATTGATGTTCAAATTGCTTACTTCCCTTATCTTATTTGGATTCGGCGGTATTGTGAGATGAAGCGGCTCAGACCAACCTTACTTGTCGACGCACAAGAGACCGCTTCCACTGACTGACATGCAACTTGTATTGCATAAAAGTGGCTATGCGGGTGTCTGTCTCTCCTACTTTAGTTGAATCTAATTTGACAAAGGCGGTCCTTGTAGAAAGTTAAAAGGCAACTTTGCATAGATAAGAACGGTTCTTATAGTTTGCCCTAGCAGCCACATAAAAATTGCAACAACAAAATTGAGGACGTCTAACTTGTTTTTGCAGGGCATGTTGTGATGTGGTATGTGTTGGAAATATGCCCTAGAGGCAATAATAAAGTGGTTATTATTATATTTCCTTAGTCATGATAAAGGTTTATTATTCATGCTAGAATTGTATTGACCGGAAACTTAAATACATGTATGGATACACAAACAAATACCGTGTCATTAGTATGCCTCTACTAGACTAGCTCGTTGATTAAAAGATGGTTAGGGTTTCCTAACCATAGACATGTGTTGTAACTTGATAATGGGGTCACATCATTAGGAGAATGATGTGATGGACAAGACCCATCCGTTAGCTTAGCATATGATCGTCCAGTTTATTGCTACTGCTTTCTTAATGTCAAATTATATTCCTTCGACCATGAGATATGGTCAAGATATGATGTGATATATGTTGACGTATGAGATGATCATGTTTTGCAATAACTTCACAACTTGCATGTCAATGAGTACGACAACCGGCAGGAGCCTTAGGGTTGTCTATAATTATTGTATGACATGCGTGTCCATCACTAAGCACCATGTAATTGCTTTACTTTATCGCTATGCGTTAGCAATAGTTTTAGAAGCAATAGTTGGTGATACGACTCTGGTGCTACGATAGAGATCAAGGTGTCGTGCCGGTGACGATGGAGATCATGCCGATGCTTTGGAGATGGAGATCAAAAGCACAAGATGATGATGGCCATATCATGTCACATATTTTGATTGCATGTGATGTTTATCCTTTATGCATCTTAT